TCGGATTCTGTAGGACAGACATTATTTTAGACATAAGTATACAGTTGTGATGAAATTAGGTCCCTATTCTCATGGGAGAGACAGATGAGAAACTAGTGAACTAAGATGCTTTCAGATAGTGATTAACACTATAAAAAATAAAATAAGATAATTTATAGTGATTGACAGGAGGGAGAGAGATTGACAAGACCAGGGGAGGGATTCTGAAGACCTAAAGAATGAGAAGCCAACAGTGCAAAGACTTGGGGTAACAGAAACCAAGATCCCGAGCGGGGAATGAACTTCTTGTATTCAGAAACATTAACTGAGCTGGAATTTAAAACTGGATTATTTATGCTTTATTTCTTTTACAGCTTTATCAAGATATATTGTATACATAAAAATCTCCTATTTAAGATGCATGGTTCAATTTTTTTTTTACTACTTTCATAGAATGTGTCACATCTCAACTATCTGATTTTAGAATATTTTTAATATGTTGAAAAGAAATTTTGCATCCATCAGCAACTATTTCTCGTTCCAGCCTCCCTCTAGCCCCCCCATCCCTAGCCCACCACTAATCTACTTTCTATCTCTATGTGTTTGCCCATTCTGGACATTAAAGTAGAATCCCATGATGTGTGGTCTTTTGTAACCAGTTTCTTTCTCTTAGCATAATGTTTTCCTGGTACATCCAATCGTATCCTGTATCTGTACATTATTTGTTTATTATATGGATATACCAGTTTGTTTATTTACTCTTCAATCAAGGGACACAGATTGCTTTCACTTTTTGTCCATTGTAAATAATACTGCTATGGGGCTGGGACTATAGCTCAGTGGCAAAGCATTTGCCTAGCCCATGTGAGGCACTGGGTTCGATCCTTAGCACCACATTAAAAAAATAAATAAGCAAATAAAAAAGTCACGCTGTCCATCTACAAGAGAAATTTTTTAAAAATAATAATGCTGCTATGAACATTCACATGTGAATATGGAGGTTATGTTTTCATTTCTCTTGATATGTGTAGCCTAGGAAGAAATTGCTGAGTAATTTGGTAGTTTTTTGGTTCAGCATTTTGAGAAACTGCCAGTTTTCCAAAGTGGCTACACCATTTTACATACTCAGGGGCAACAGGAGCGTTCTGATTTCTTTATATCCTCCCTGATACTTGCTATTGTCTGTTTTTATTATAGCCTCTTCTTGTGGATGTGAAAAGGTGTCTTGTTTTGATCTGGATTTGCATTTTCCTAATGACTAATGAGATTGAGTAGCTCTTCATGTGCATTGGGGTCCTTTGTATATATTCTTTAGAGGAATGTCTATTCAATTTCCTTGCCTGTGTTTTAATTAGATTATTTATCTATTATTGAGTTGTGACAGGTTTTTATGTATTTTTATGTACTCTGGATATAAGGCCTTCGTCACATAGATGATCTGTCAAGATTTTCTCCTATTCTGCAGGTGGTTGCCTTTCCACTTTCTTGATGGAGTCCTTTGAAGCATAGAGGTTTTTACTTTTAGTGCCAATTTTATTTATTTATTTTTTAATTTTTTCACTTCTGCTTTCGGTGACACATCTAAGAAAATATCACCAAATTCAGGGTCATGAAGATTTACTCCTATGTTTGCTCCTAGGGTATGTATGAATGTATGTATGTATGTACTGGGGATTGAACCCAGAGTCTCACACAAGCTAAGCACATGCTTTACCACTGAGCCACACCCCAGCCCCAGTTATATAGTTTTTAAAAAATTATTGGTGCATTATAATTAGACAAAATAGTGGGGTTCATTATACCATATTTATAAATGCACAGAACCTAATTCGAACAATCTCATTCCCTAGTGCCTTCCCTTTCCCTCCCATCCTCCCTTCCCCATCTTTACTTCTCTTCTCTACTGATCTCCCTTGTTGTTGTTATTATTATTTTAGTTAGTGCATTATAATTTATGTGTATATAAATTATGTATATAACATATTATATATATATATAATTTTTATATGTGCAGGACTCATTGTAGTGTGTTCATACATGGACATAGCAATATTTGGTAGATATTGTACTTAGAACTTCCCTACATCCTTCCTTTCTCCCTCCCTCTCTATTCCTTTCCTCTACTCTATTGGTCTCTGCCTTCTTTTTGTGAGATCCTAGTTTTATAGTTTTAATTCTTACATTTAGATCTATAATCCATTTTGAGTTAAACTTTTTTTTTTTGCATAGTCTTTGGAGGCTCCAGCTTCATTCTTTTACATGTGGATATCCAGTGGTCCCAGCATCATTTATTGAAAAAAAAAGTTATTCTTTCCCCATTAAATGGCACCCCTGTCAAGAATTCCACTGAGCTGGATGAAGCTGTGCATGCCTACAGATTCCAGCAACTCAGGAGGCTGAGGCAGGAGGATCCAAAGCTCAAGGCCAGCCTGGGCAACTTAGTGAGAACTTGCCTCAAAAAAAGGGGGGGGCAGTGTAGCTAAGTAGTGGAGCATCCATAGAAATACAGTTGAGTCTCACATATTGATCTCGTATCCTGTCATAATTCTGAACTTTTTTTTTTTTGGTACTGGTTATTGAACCCAGAGGTACTTCACCACTGAGTCACATCCCCAGCCTTTTAAAATGTTTTATTTAGAGACAGGGTCTCACTGAGTTGCTTAGGACCTTGCTAAGTTGCTGACGCTGGCTTTAAACTCACGATCCTCCTGCCTCAGCCTCCCTCGCCACTGTGTGCACCACTGTGCCTGGCACATTTCTGAACTTCTTGACTTTATATTTGTAATCATGATGCTTGACTACTTTCTCCATGTGAAGCATTGTGTTTGACACCATAGAAAACACCAAGATGAACAAGATACGGCCTTGGTTCTAAAGCTCATAGCTGAATTTAAGAAATAAGACGTAAGCCTCTTAAATAAATAATAGCCTGTTTTAGCAAGGTTCAGGGAAGTACATAACAATGGGATTAAGATAGGCATTGACCCACATGTGGAGATAATTATTATAATTATATCCAGAAACTTCCAAAGTGAAAATCAGATAAAATTTTTAATGCAGTTGTCCATGCCCACACTATCTGAGGAATATGATACAGTAGTTCTGAGGTGAGGTTCTGGAATCTATTTTTAAAAGGCTTGCCAAGAGATTCTGATGACCAGCCAGGTTTGAGAAATGATAATGAACCATGGTTGTGTCTACTAATGTTTTCAAAGAAGTTGGGCAGAAGCCAGGGAGAAAAAGAAGCAAGAAAATTAAAGGAGGAAAGGGAGGAAGAAGGAAGGGAAATAGGGCCATACTGGGCCTTTCAAACCCAGCTCAAATCCTTCCTACTATATTCATCCTGGACCTCTCCTGGACAATTCCTCTTGAATTGTCTCTCATCCCCCTGAACTTTGCTAGAACTCTATCTGTAGCATTCTTTTAGCAATTCTTATGTACTTCCCTTGTGGTCTCCTAGATGTGTGACTGTTTAGGATACTCACATGTCTAGGAGACCACAAGGGACCTGGGTAAGAGATTGTAAGTGGACCTATACAACAGCTCCTCCACTAACCAAAGACATCTTAACCAGCACACACAATTTGAAGGGCTCACTAGCGTCCTTTGTGTTTATGAGGATGGGTGATTACACAGAACAAACTTATTTTCCAAAATTGAGAATCCTAGGAATTTCAAGAGATCCTTCTGAAATGCATGTCCATGATCCTCAGAGTCATGTATCCATTATCTGGATTTAATAAATAATATCGTCTTACCATATTTTCTTAATATTTTTAAATAAAATGTTTTAGTTGCAAGAGAAGGCCCTTCCATCTCATCTCTCCCCAGAGATAACCAATCTCTTTTAAAGATGGTAGGAATCTTGTCCACGCATGTGTTCATATTTTACATACACAATATATAAAATTTGAGAGTTTAAATGTATACAAAGAGTATACATATTTTTCTGCCGCATGTTTCTTCAACACCATTTTGAGATTGATCCATGTAACACAGAGCCAACCCATTCTTTATAATATAGTAATATTATACTAAAAAGTACTATATTGTATCATCCCACTATGTGTGTATGTTTGTTTATTTTTTTGTTTGTTTTTTGTACTGAGGTTCTTTTTATTTGTTTTTAAATTTTGAGATGTGGTTTTGCTAAAGTTGTTGAGGCCTGGCCTCAAACTTGAGATCTTCTAGCCTCAACCTCCTGAGTTGCTGTGATTATAGGCGTGAGCCACCCCACCCATATGTATAAATATTTTAGACTCTATTTTCTTATAAGTGGATAATTGCTACGTCTAGTTTTTTGCTATTTCAAACCATGATGCAATTCCTGTCCTTGTATGTCTCTTTGGACACATATGTGAGGATTCTTCTAGGGAATATATCTAGAATGAAAATTGCTAGCAAATAGGATATGCATATTCTCAGCTTTACTGGATTGCTTTCCAGGTTATTCTCTGTAGTAGCTGAGCCAATCTTTATGTTTACCAGAGATATATGATAATTTCTCCTGCCCCACATTCTAACCAATACTGCTGAGTTAAGAACCAGTACACATACCTGGGTCCTACTTTAGTAGATTCTAATAGGGTAGCACCGGATTGTGGTTTGAAACTGGCTACACTTTCAAAGGATTATTGTTTATGAGGATGGCTGATTGCATAGAATGAGCTTTTATTTCCAAAGAAAATAAATTCTAAAACACATTATTGAGAGCCTCTCTGCTCCATGTATGTGTGTATGACTAATAGGTCAATAGGCCCACAGAGACTCTGGTACTTCGTGGGTTGCATTTAGAGCTTTAAGGAAAGAAGGGTGGAAAAGTACTAATGCCTAACATACCTTGCAGATGGATTCGTTTAATTAATCAATTTATTTATTTTTGCCCTACCAGGGATTAAAGCCAGGTCCTCATGGATGCTAGGCCAGTGCTCTACCTCTGAGCTATTTATCTCCAGCCCTTTATTTTGAGACGGGGTCTCACTAGGTTACCCAGGCTACCCTTGAACTTGTGATCCTCCTACCTCAGCCTCCCGAGTACCGGGATCACTGGCGTGCGCCACGGTGTCTGCTGCAGATGCACTTTAATACCACAGCAACGTGATTTATCAGTCCTCGGGGTGGTACTTAATCTACCGTCCTGCCTCTGCCAGCGAGGCCGATGGGAGGTGGGCCCTTTCTGGAAGCGGACCTGCCTCTGACGAGCATACGGGTGGGCGTCGGTGGGCGTCGGTTGTCAGGGCTTGCGTCTGTGCGATGGCTCAGGGCAGGACGCATGTCAGCGCTGTCTGCCAGCCTGCTGGGTGGTGTCACTGTGTGGAGCATTTGTGGCTTTTTTCAAAGCCCCGAGGAATCTGAGAAGCAGTGAGGGGAATGATGCATGAAAACAAAAGGCAGTGGAAAGAGTGACCAGCCAGCAGGCTCCGGCAGGCGGAACGCTCTGTCCTTGTTATTACTGCTTCACGAAAAGGCCGCCGGCTTCCTGGCAGGGGCTGGAAGGTAGAGGCTGCCTGAGAAAACAGGCACCAGAGATGGGGACGCTGGGGCCGGGATTCTGACTCCCCAGCGTCCCCAGCTTCCAGTGGCAGCCACCCGGTGAGGGCAGGGAACCCTGTGCCCCTTGGTGGAGCCTGGCCAGGCTTTTCCTCTCTCCTGGCTGATTTCCCAAGAGGCTTTCCTCCCACTCACAAGCTCTGGTCTCAGGGGCCTGGGAGAGAAGCTGGGCGGTGCCGGGGACAGAGCTGCTCCCCACGGGGGATCTGAAGGTCAGCCTAGGGGAGGAAAAGGGGCCTGGACCTGACTCCCTTTCAAGGAGTGTTTATCTCAAAGAAGGGCCTACTGATGGCGGGCGGAGGGACAGGGGCTGTTGTCAGTCCTTGCCTACTTTCCCCAGGGCTCTAAATGCCCTGCCACCACATTTTCTCCCAGGACAGCCTAATTCAGTTTTCAGAAATGAGGTGGACACGCAGGAAAGGTATGTTTCCATTTAAATGCACTCTTGGATAGCTATTTGGGCTTGCCAGGAGTCGACCTCTACTTTCCCTCCAGATCGGCTCCTTTCTCTGATATACAAAATACCTGGATGCGAAACAGGGAAGTAGCTGCCATTCTCTTCTCTTAAAAAGTAGCTAGGAGGATAATGCGTAAAAATAGGCCTCTGTGGATACAATGGGACTGAGCAGGGTGTGGTTGGCTTGGCAACTGCTCAGGCAAAGTTATTTCTCTTGGTCCTGGAATGCTCTTGACTTTGCCTCTGCTTGATGAAGTCCTGAAAAACGAGTGTCACTTTTTGGGGAGTGAAACTCCCATGGCTGGGATTAATCACTGCCTTCTTTCTGGTCCCATAGCATTTGCCTTTATAAAAAGCATTCATCCATATTGTGTGTCAATTACCGACTTGGGATCATGCTTTATTCTGTATGTGTGCCTCCTTGGCTTCTATGACTATATTTGATAAACATAGGTCATAGTTCTTTGATAAATATTTATTGAATGAATCAAAGTTCCTGAATAAACACAGATCTTTGGCTCTTCTATTTTCTTAATTATCCCCTGCCTGCTCCTTCTTCAGTCCTACCAGCTCTGCATGGACTAGAGAGACTCTCGAAAACTAAGTGTCATTTTTTTTCCCTAAGGAATTGCTCCAGCAGGAATGGTTGCTTCGATATATCATTCTGTTACAGGTACAGAAACTGTTTCCAGGAAACACTACCATCATTATCTCTGAAAGCCAAGTCAGTGGAAATTGTTATTTTCCATTTACAGATAGACAAATGGAAGCTTTCTTTTTCATTTACCAATTATGGCATGTCCACTCTGTTCAAAGTACTGTGTGAAGAGTTTTATGGGCTCCAAAGAGAACCTGGTGAGACAGGGTTCTTGTTGTAAAGGAGAATGTCATAATCTTACTGGGATGAAAAGCTATTTGTATGCAAAATTAACTGTTGTTGGGAACGTATAATCTGGACCGTTTGAGTGGTTCCAAGACAAGTACCAAAGGGAATAGAAAAGGTAGGAACAAGAATGTCCGGCTAATGTGATCAAGGATATATGTCACTGAGTCATTGAAATGAATAGATTTTGGCTGGCCATTGTACATTTGGCCCTGGGTTGGTTTCCTGTGACCACCATAACAAATTACTTTAAACCGGGTGGCTTAAAACAATAGTATTTTATTGTCTTACAGTTCTGGAGGTCAGACGTCTGAAATCAAGGTTTTGGCAGAGCCGGTGGCTCCTGAAGGCTCCAGGGAAGAATCTGTTCCTTGCTTCTTCCAGTTGCTGTTGGTCCTAGGCTTCCCTTGGCTTGTGGCCACTTCACTTGGTGGTCACATGTCCTTCTTCTCTCCTCTCTTAAATTCCTTCTGCTTCTCTCTCTCTCTCTCTCTCTCTCTCTCTCTCTCTCTCTCTCGTTTTTAGTAGTAATTTGACACAATACCTTTATTTTTTAAATTTATTTTTATGTGGTGCTGAGGATCAAACCCAGCACCTCGCACCTGCTAGGCAAGTGTTCTGCTACTGAGCTACAACCCCAATCCCCCCTCTACTTCTCTTTTAAGGATGTGTGTGATTGCAGGTAGGGCCTACCCCAGTGATATAGGATCTGCTTCTTCTCTTCTTTTCTGAAGATCCCAAACTTAATTACATTTTCATCATATAAGATCATATCCTTAGGTTCTAGAGATTAAGCTGCCCTGCTCTGGGCCCACATGTCACGTCACCTGGTTTCCGTTGCCTTCTGGTTTACTGTTGGGTTTGCCAGTGGAAGGTGCCGGCAAGTAGCAGAGGGTAGGAGGAAAAAGAAGTCAGGACATTTCTTCTCTTTTTCTCACTGCTTTAGCACAGTGGTTTTGGCAGTAGCTGTTCCAGAATTCCAGCTCTTTCCCAACTTTGATCAAATAATTTCCTTCCCTTTTCTCTCAGCCTTGGGCTCCTACCATTGCTAGTCCTCGGGAGCCTGAATATCCTCTTAATATGCCTAGTCTCTGTAAATATGTCTTCATCAAAATTTTTTCAGCCAATTGTGCCTTCATGTTTCCTGCCATGATCTGATCTGATAGA